TCTTGCAAATTCTCTTTATTGTGACTATTACGAAAATTTTAAGGAAACACACATAGATATCATTATTATTTTACACAGATCAAGGATAAAGTAAGTTCATAAAAGTAAAAATTACCATTTAACATTGTCAGTGATATCCTTTTCACTCTTAGCCATATAATGGGAAAACCCATACTTTCATTTTGGCTACCATTTCCACCTCCTATTTCTCTCATTTCTCCTCCCATTTCTCTGTGATTCTCATTTTCTTACTCTTTAATACCTCTGCATCTCCCTTCTTTGCATCCTTGGCTTTTCTTTAGGAGCTTCCACTTTCTGTCCATCGTCTCTGCAATCTACTCTATCTCATTTGCTAATGAAGCAGTTTTAATAAAATCCTCATCGTTTGGCTTAAGACAACATGTTAACAATTTCCGTTCACACTTCTTACAGCCATAGTGGCAGATCATTTGCAGGATAACAACACTGGATCATTTTCTATAACCCTTTCAGTTAGGAGAGTCAGATCCATTTAAAAATAAAATGTTGCAGAGAGTCTAAAGCACACATTTACAGAAAAATGTGCCGTTTACATGGAATGTGAAGGCAAATTGTTTGAAACGGCATGTCTTGAACAAGCAACCTGGTTGGTAAATGCTGACTATTGTTTGGGCATCCAACATACAAAAAAAAAACGGCTTTAGAGAAGTAGATCATGGGAGAAGAGGTGGGTATCTTAGATTTTTTTAATGGATGAAACTGAAATATGTAGATGCATATTGTATAGCTCAGTGAAGATTCTACTTATATGTAGGTTTGATCATATTTAACAAACATATTTACAATAGATTCCTAATTCTTATGCAAAATCAGAGTCATAATTACAGTAATGCAGCTTTCTGCTAACTTACTTTGCTGAAAAGAACAATGGGGACAGGCTTTATTGACAGGTGCTACAATTACAGTTTCATAATACAGAACATTTGTTCATCAAGTAATGTGTTTCCCTCCAGACATCTTCATTAAAAAAAAGAAGCAGGAGTTCAAGTGATTAGTAATTCAGGATGAATACTCTCTAAATACTTTCATTCTCTATAGGTATGGAATTATGCCCTTTTAGAGTAAAAAACAACACCTCCAAAAAAAAAAAAAAAGATTGTTCAATTGTTCTTTGCTTCTTCGAATCATTTTACTTAGGACACATTCTTCACATGACAAAATTATATCATAAAGATTTGAAAAAATTTACTCTTACAGAAAATAAAAAAAAAATTGTTTTTGTATGAACAGACCAGTCTGTTTTGGTCTGAGGGCTCAGAAACCTTATTGTTATTGAATCTGCTCTTTCTTTCCAATTCTAGCTTCTGGTATGAGCCTAGGATGATGATAGTGAAAATCCAGATTAACACCACTGAAAACAAGTTACACTGTACATCTGTCCTCAATTTATTATTCAACACAAAGTTGATTAGGCAAATGACCCACATTTTCAAGCACTGCACAGCATGCCTTATTTATTCACTGATATCTTAGGCACAAGTCGGCATCCCTGGTCTATATGCACAGAAAGTATTGACTGACGCATTCTCTTCTTATCTTCCTAGAATAAATACAGTTGAGCAGAACACAGCCACAGCCATGCTCAGGGTTTTTTTATCAGTGATATAGGGAGCTCACAGTACAAGAACAGTTCACAAAACAAGAAGCCCAGGATCAAAAAAATGAAAACTAGGTTGTATCAAAATACATGTAAAGGAGTTTGGTAGGGAATTCTGGCACTGTTTTGCAAGCTGTAGGTGAACTTCAGTAGAGGTAAGGAAGAACAGAGTAGGAAAAAGAAAGAAGAGGGACATGGATTCATGCTTCGAATAATTTTAGCATGAGATAGGAAGAGGCATAAAAGCTGCCTAGAGTTCATCAAGGAGCATTCTTCTTGCAGCCATGAACAGCATAACAGATATTATGGAAATAATGAGGAGAAGCTAGGATAAGAGGGCAAACTCAACATGTGTTAAGACATCACAGGCAGTGTTAATAGTGCCTTTGAAGACAAAACGAAGCAGCTTGCCATTGATAACGAAACAAAGTAGGAAGAGCTTGAAGCAAGTAAGTAGAACATGTAGGGTCAGAGCAGCAAATAAATAGACAGAAGGACCAGAAAAGCCAGAAAGAGATTTTTTCAGTAGACTGGATTTTTATCTACCAAGAATTTGGAAGAAAAGTGAATTTATATAGACAGAGCTACAAAACCAATTTTTCCTGTTATGACAGAAAAAACAATGGAGGTTTTAAAAGTGAGCTTACAAGGGTCTGTTAAGCGTCAAGAGCCAAAATGGACAGCTTTGTTATAGACCTTAATGGCTGAAGTGAGATGGTGACATACCTTTACAGGGAGGAGAAGAGGCCTAGGGAAGGCTAACATTTTGGGGACATGAAGAGATCATAATCTTCCACAGTGGAGGATTCAGGCCATACTGAATCTAAACTGATGTCTGACAATTTGTGATGAGACAGGAGGAAGAGGTGCCAATAGCCTAAGCTAAATGATAGGTCATGTGTAGGACAGCTGAACAAGTAATTTATTGCACACAGATACGGGACTATACTCATGACTGTGAATAAAAGGGTTTAAAAGAACATGACAGTGTGGCCAAAAATAAAGCCTTTAGAAATAACTATCATACCACTCTCAGGAAGCATGATAGAGGTTGTGGGTAACATGACAACAACTATAGTCAATAACTGTATGCAAAACTGCAAAACCCTCAGCATTACAATTTGTTCTTAGTGTGAAAGGGGAGGACATTTATTACAGACATTATGTCCTATGGGCGCAAACTATTTGGATCAGCAGAGAAATAAGATTTTTAAAGGCCGGTAGGATCAATAAAAAACCCAACCACGTATGTGTGTTATGTCTGACATTGTATGTCATCAGAATGTCATTCCTTAATTCAATTAGCATATTTTGCTTCAAAAAGAAGAAGTAGTAGAAAAACTTCTGTAGTCATTTAAAAGAGTTGAACTATATTATCAAGCAATATCATGCTGGAGCCCACATTATATACTAACAGTATATTCCATATAGGATTAAAAAAATCATACTTTTTAGCAATGTGATCAGCCAGTATTCTCTGTGAATTTCTCCCTTCTTGTATTCACAGTCAGCTGATGATATTTTGTTTTAAAAGTACTTTAAACCTTTTTTATTATTAGTTTTTGTAATGCTATAGCATTTCAAAAGAGAAAGACCAATTTGCAATACAGTCAGTTTAATCTAACCCAAGAGTTCTTACAGTAAATGTAACACACCAATCTTATTTCCACGTTGCTCTTTCAATTCTCAAGTGGCTTTATAGAAATTATTTCTGCAAATAATAACAGGCAGGCAAGATGGGTATACAGACTTTCCTAAAAACTTTCTCAGATGCACAACTCAAAGCAGAGAATCCAGGTATCTGGGCTTTATGTTATCTGCATCTCTCTGTTACTTCTCCAACTCAAAATATCTTTGAACTTGCTAGTTAACCTTACCCAAATTTTGCATTTGGTAGAGAGATCTAAAAGGTATGGGTGTAAGTCAGGAGAAGGACAGTACAGCATCCATACTGAGCAGTGGATGGAGGAGCTCAGCCCTACCCCACTCTCCTGAGGCTTGGCAGCAGAAGCGCAGTGCAACCTGGACAGTTTGCAGAGGTTTTCTATGAGGAAAAGCAGCACATATATCAAGCAGTTGCCACACAAAGGCCTTCCTGACAAACCAGCAGCCCAAGCAAAAGGGGATAAAAATCCAGCAAGTGCTCAAAACACTGCTCAGACAGGTAGGCATCATGCTAGGGAGCATGGGAGGGACCTAAGAGGGGATGTGGAGGAGGGTGTGGGTATGGAAACACAGTGCTGCAAGGACTACGTGCAAGAACTGCAGTTGCTGGACCAGTCTGGAGGAAGATGCAGGAACACAATATGGAAAGATTTCTTTCCTAATTTATCTCAAAAGCAAAGTGTGATTACTCAAGCTGCAAACGTCTGTCATCTGTATTTACACATTCTTGAAGTTTAAATTGTACTAAAGGGAAAGGTAAAACATTTGTTCTAAGGACACATAACTGACAAAAAGTTATTGCTAACCTCATATTAGACAATTCCACGAGCCCTCACAGGAGTTCTTTTGTTCTGTCATGCTTTCAACAGGTTTAAATCAAAGCTTAATACTCTTTCAAAAGATTAAATATTATCTTGAATAAACATGCCAATACTTCAGAATTCTGCCTCCAGGGACTAATGTAAAGCACTAACCATTTGAGTAGGACTACAGAGCACCCTCAGAGATTTACACTATATACCAGTGTATATAATAATGCCCAAAGAAAACAAGTTAAGAACACTGCACTGGCAGGAAATGCAAGAGACTTCGAATGAAGTGTTTGATAGTATGAATGCTGGTATTGCAACTATTTTTCCAAAAAGAAACCACACTTTTCAACTGAAATAGATGTAGATATACTTGTATATGTTGTATATACTTGTATATACTTGTAGATGAAGGTATATTTGTTAAGTGTTGAGCATATATTATTTCTTAAAAACTTTGGTGTTAGATCCTTCACTACTGCAAGTTAGCACAATCACTGACTTCAGCGGAGATAAATACCAACTGACTTCTCACAAGGAGATACAGTTTTTCAAGTTAATGCAGTGTTCAATTAAGTAAAAAATAAAATGTACTTAAATGAATTTGGTTCCTATATGAAGCTGTGAGTCCTTCAGACTTAAACTTCTAGGTACAGCAAGTAGAGAGAGAAACGCATTATGAGTGTAGCCCACTCACACCTAAAGACTGTAAGAGCCGTTCAGTTGTTATTGCCTTGATTGCTACTATGATGTCTAGTATCATTCTATTTTTATATAAGGCACAATTTTCCTATATACCAAAGGTAAAATCTTCTGGTTCATTTCAGATGTGTTTGCCACCAGTCTGCTCCATGCAAATCAGTAACTCAACGACAATAATCTTTCATCTGCATGGGAAGCAAGCTAATCCCAGACAATGTTTGAGGAAATCAAGACTTTTGACAATTTGTATGGAAGTCTGGAGGGAGGAAAACACATATGTACATACACTCTAGTTTGGCCAAGAAGGTCACCTCTTCAATGAACTCTGAAACTATTCTCCGTTTCTGCAATAAAGGTTTTGATTTTGATCATGTGATAGACCGATTTTTTTTTTTAATATTCCCCTGGTTCTAATATAGATTTTCTAACTTTGCTTAAAAATGTAAGTACCATTAGTTGCTAATTATTATTTAACATCAAGAATAATTTTAAATAAAAGCTACTTACCAATTTTGCAATATCATTCACATCATCTGTCACTGGATTCCCGCAGGAACTCTGGGCTTTGACAAGAGGATTAAGTAGGAGCAGTTGAAGACAAAAGCAAGTGATAATCCAAGTCTATTTAGTAAAAAAAAACCAAAACAAACGAACACAAAGAGAAACAAGAAACCCCAAGTAAGCAATCTCCAAATGTGAAGTAACAACAGATAGCAGTAAAGCTTTTCATACAGGAAGTCTAGATGCAACAATACTCTTCATCTTTCATGAGAACACACTAGTACCACTATTGTATAATCTTCTTGACAGGAATCCACAGAAATGCACTTACTTGATCTTTTCTGGAAGCAAGTACCTTTAGAGTAATAATGGAAAACCTGAAACAGGTACCCTTAATAGTAATCATGGAAAACCTGGTATTGAGCTATGAGATTACTTGTGCGGGATCCTGCTTAGGTGAATTTCTGTGGCATCTACAGATACCAAAGAAGAGAAAGAGACCAGCTTTGCAATATTCTTCATCATCATCATAAAGCTAACTAAATACTTATCATCCACCTGATAAGGTATTTGATAAACCTGTGCTTCTGTGTGATATTGGTTAATAAGGAACCAAATGATACCTGACCACAGCAAGATGAAAAGAGAAAGTTCATAATCACAGCCATTACACCTGGGTACTTAAACTGCAAGCAAAACCACAACTGAACTCTGCCCAAATACTGAGATGTCAAGCAGCAACACAATGCATTTTATCTAAGTGACATGCTTTGGCCTCTTAGGAGTGGCATCTTAGCTTTGGCATTACATTCCCCTCCTAAATCCTATTAGGAACTGCAGTGCAATGTACTCACAGGCTTGTGAGACTATGCCAGAAGAGCACCAGGTAACTAGCCATGATGCACCTGGGTGTCTCCTTGGCTACGCTGCCTGAACTTCCTCACCTTCTGTTGTTGTGCTTCACTGGTTTCCCACAGAGCCCCATGCCAAGTTTAAGCTGCAGATCTTCTTTTCCAGAATGTTAAAGCATTTAAGTTATGGATAATCAAAAGTTGCCTTGGGTTGTGAAGCTTTATGTGCCAGCTGACTAAAGCTGTCAGGAAGAGCTAATGATGATGTACATTCACTGCAAGTATGGAATTTGCCTGTGCAGGCTCCTGAGCCTCCATGAGGGCAGGACTGAGACCAGAATTCGGTTTTGCACAAACCAAGATGCATCTCAGCCCCATCTACCCTGTGACAGGCAGAGAGCTCCTTTCTCCATCCTTGCCTTCAAACACTACCCAACCTTTCAATTTCAGACCAAAGCACATCAAACAACATAAGCAAAGCTCTCTAAGAAAGCAGAGAGAGAAAATCACAAATTTAAAAGATTACCATTATATTAACCTGGAGGGGCTAAGGACGTATGATGAGAAAGATTGCTCACGAGTTACATAAACATGATGGAACAGTGCCAGGCACTCTACCTAGAGCTGTTACATGACAAGTAAATCTCTTGTAGCTCTTAAAACCTGGATGTATCTTACATCTCAAGTAAAACTGGTCATTTGCTTTCTTATAATATGGCTTTCTGACTCATGCCACCCATAAAGGGGGACTTTTTACAAGGGCGTGTAGTCACAGGACAAGGGCTAATGGCTTTAAACTGAAAGAGGGTACATTTAGGTTGGCTATTAGGAAGAAATTCTTCACTATCGGGCTCATGAGGCACTAGCTATCGGGCTCAGGAGGCACTAGCACAGGTTGCCAAGAGAAGCTGTGGCTGCCCCACCTCTGGCAGTGTTCAAGGCCAAGCTGGACGGGGCTTTGAGCAACCTGGTCTAGTGGAAGGTGTCCCTGCCTGTGGCAGGGAGGGGTGGAACTATATCATCTTTAAGGTCCCTTCCAACCCAAACCAGTCTATGATTCTATGATTTAGGTAAAACTGGTGTGGGCTGCTGCTGGAAAAAACGATTCAGCCTCCCCTGCTACCTCGTGCAATGGCACAACCAGCTGTTGCAGGCAGACAACTTCCTTTTTTTTTTCCCTGTGCTGTTTTTTCAGGCTTTCTGATCAGACCAGCTTTCTGACCCAGGTAACTGAGACAGCAGAAATGCTCCGTTACAGATGGGACAAGCCAGGATTACTCATTTCAGAGGAGCCTGCACTCAGCTTTCCTTGAACTGTACCCTCAGACACCACAGGATCATGCAGGTGGGTAGACTTCTTTCATGTGAAGAAACTGAAAATATTCTAAGCAAGGTAGACATTTAATATGCAGCATGTCTTCTTAGAATGCCTCTTGCTTCAACATAAGTAGCATTTAGAAATACTTTTAGTATCTGTACGAATAATCATTGTGAAGAACTGAGAATAAGTACCTAACCTGAAGTTACGTACTTAACAATCTTTCTTACAAAACCTCTGTGTCTTATGCTATACAAAGCTTTGCAGTTATACATATATGAACAATTCAAGCTCTGGGGAGACACAACGAAGATGTAACTAGTCTCTGAAAGGACCTTTGAGAGCTCCTTTCAGTGTAGAATTGCTCCAAGTTGAGCTCAAAGAACTAGCTTTAACCGGTCAGAGACGCATCTCCCTCACCTCACGTAAGTTCCAGAACCACAGAGGAAACCAAAGGGGACCTCATGTTAAGAGACTACTTCCTCACTGCAATTTTTTGAATGAAATTGTTATAAAAAAAGGCAGGAAGTTAATGACAACCAGCTCCAAAATGGACTAACTATAATGCTTTCAAGAATTGAAAAAAAAGAGTAGTTCTACCTTCAGTGTAAAACAGTACGCTAGCAGTTACACTCACTAACAGGATGTTTCCCTGATGTGTTCTTTGGAGGTGGAGGCCATGATGGAAATCACCAATTTCTTTATTGGGTTTCTCAATATTGAATAGTATGTAAAGCAAGATGGATTTGTTCACTGGCCTGTGTCACTGTCATAGAATGATATTTAACCTAATAGTCTAATAATCAAAAAAGCAACAAAAGTGGAAACACTTTTTTTTGCCAGATCAACTGACTAATATGAATAAAAACAGCACCACACTCCAAATAAAGCCAGACCTAAGACACATCTTGTCAATCTTCATAATTCTGGATCTAAAGAAAACCAATACATGAAGCTTAAAATCACAACACATTTTATAATTATGCAAATTGGTAAGAATACACTCTTTTTTCCCCTATGTAAATAATGTGATTTAAAAGCACAGTAATTTTTATACCTGCTATTAAAAATAAATGCTTTGTAAATTTTGAGATTATTTGAGGTTCTTTTTGCTTATTTGTTCTGTATGTCATCCAACAGGAACTGAAAATCTGCAAAATACTGCTAGTTTCAACACGCCTATTATCCAAAATCTTTCTTTTAATTATTTGCACTTACAAAATATTTATATTACACATGCCTACAGGTACATTGTATGTAAGGACTGTCTAGATCAAAGAGCTAAGCAATTTTTGTGTTATTTACTAATGACCAAACCTGCTGTTTGAGCAAAACTTGAATGAACTGAATTAAATCAAGGACAGAACAAAAGCAAACCTTAAACAACAGCTTTGTAAATAGAGATTCCAGTTTTATACTTTACTAAGCATAAATGTTACCCAGACAGCACTCATCACAGATTTCCATATATAATTACTTCTAAGCTAAAATGTGATTTTCAAAGCTGGCCACAGGATTTAATCACACATCATCTACCAGCATTAAATTGAAGATATATAGCAGACAGGAGGCAGACCTGTATACCAAGGGGCGTCTTCCCATCTTGAGCTCAAAAATTATTCAGTTGTTTCTATATTCTGAAATCTCTTAAATACTGAAATTGTAAGTTGCTTTTTGAAAGGGAAAAAATAATGATTAGACTGGAAAGGATAATTCAAATTAAAGATTTCATGTATACACTTCTGATCATTGTGCAAATGATTTTTACTATAGCTTATAAGCCACAAGCTATGATTTCAGTTAACAGCATTTTAAAAGCTTAGCTAGTGATCCAGTGTGGTTTTCATTTATGTTCTTCATTTACGATCTGGAGTGTTGGCAAAAGCTTATGAATGAGTGCTTTAGCTTTTTTTTCACAGTATTTTATCAAAGGTATTCAATCATGCTGATTAATGTCCAGCTAATTCCTTAAATGGAAAGCAGCAAAGGGAATACCATGTTGCTAAATAAGCCAAACACTGGAAACTCTGGACATTTCCAAATATCTAGTTTGTACTGATAAAAATTATAATCATAAGTAGGAAGAAATAATACAAAAGAAAAAAAAAAAAGGAGGGGGACAAACAATAAAACACACAAAAAACCCCATTAAGCACAGGGAGAGGTATTAACTATACAGATGAATGGGTTCTTCATTATAAAATTTCTTGCATTGAAATCATGTTAGCACAGAATTTTTCACCCCAGTTTCTTGAGCAAATCATTCAGTTAACCATAGCCAAGCCACAGCTGCAGTAGGGTTAGCTGACAGTATGGAATAATATTCACCCTGGGCCAGACTTCGAAGTTTAGTTTTCACTTCTGCTAATGGTGGGGTAGGAACACCTCTCAATGATGGCTCCTCAGGCAGTGTCTGCATGCTGCTTTGCTGAGGCACAGCTTGTAAACTTCTGCCATAAACAACACTGGTCGGTCAGTCACGGATAGCTAACTTAATGTTCATACTTATGCCTTAAAAAGCCTTTTGAAAGAAGGTTCAAAGAAAATGAGAATAGCAATAAAAGATATTTACTGCCTTTATTTTTTAACCATAGAGAAGAATAAAAGCACAATAATTCTTTCACATGTCTACTAATTTATTTAGTTATTAAACTCATGTAAGACTTGTCTTTAACCAATTAAGAAATTTACTGTCAGTGCAGAAAAATTTTAAAATGAAAGAAGAGCATTTATACAGAATGTAATCTAATTCCCATTTTCATGGTATTCAGCAATGCCTTCACCCATGCAAATGACAGCGCTAACTTTAGTACTTTAAAAGCCTAAATACTGCTGAAATGCTAAACATTGATCAAGTCCCCAAAAGATCAGTTAAGTGTGGAAAAAGCAGTCACCCACCCATGACCATCTAGTTCTGTAAGTAGTGAAGTATTTTTGCCAGCACATACGGA